TCTTATACCTTTGTTTTGAATGTTGGGTCAATCGTCATAATACGAGAGAAGACAAGTGCTAGGTATTGCCAGACGAGTGATATGACATGTGCGTGTGCATATACACATACACATATATTAAGTGCATGTGTGTTTTGTGTGTAATAGCTACGTATCGAGGAACCTGGAGAGCTACATTTTCCTGAAGCTACAGAATGAATATGACTCTGCAATCGTCTCGTGCTGTCGTTTATATTTCTGGAGCAACTTTGCGCTTGATGGCATTTTCACATGCATGCTTCTCACATTCGAGAACCGACATTGTCATAATGTACAAGTCGGTTAAGTACAGTGATTTGAGAATTCTTCAAGAGGACTGCAATGAAACACACATGTGCACGATAAGTATATTAATATAAATTAGAATTTCTGGTTCAAGATATGTTCCTAAGCTTATTACAATTATGACACAAAACTAAGAAAAACTAGAATATCGACATTCAACCTTCCCTGACTGAAACAACAGAAAAAAAAGACATACGGCTCTTATGCGTGTAAACTACAAGGAAGAGAGACATGCACGCCAGCCAAGTAGAAAGGAAACACGTCTGAAAGTCTTGATATGCATGAAAAGTGCAGAGGTCAAGAGTCAGCCCGAGGGAGAGATTATTCATAGCTGTCCTTCGTGGCTATTTAGTCCCGTTCTGTTGTTGCTATTAAAAAGGTTTATTTTGTGACTTCCACAATACATCATCAGTCAAGGCGTTCATAATTTCTTGACATTCTTTCTCACCAGATTTCTTTCTTAAAGTGTGTTCACTGTTTACTTATATTTCTACGCGATTCGTTCTGATGTGATGTGTGCTATATTTCATTTAGTAAATAAAATATTATTGGTTAGAATTCATATGTATTTTACTTAGCTGCTAATCTTCACTACATAATTTTTTATCTCAAATCTACAAATGAAGAGATTATGGGCGCTGTATAAGACCTCCGACCCCCTCCCCCCTCCCCCCTTGCTGACTCGTAACCTCTTACCTTCTCCCCCCCCCCCTTATCCTCCTCCTCACCCTTGCTTCCCTTAGTCACCCCTACTCCTCCTCTTTGCTTTAGTCTCCCCTATTCCCTTTTCTCCCACCTTTTCCATTCCTCTCTCTCTCTCTCTCTCTCTCTTCTTCTTCTTCTTCTTCTTCTTCTTCTTCTTCTCCTCCTCCTCCTCCTCCTCCTCCTCCTCCTCCTCCTCCTCCTCCTCCTCACGTATCATCCTCCTGAAACCTGTATCCTATTTACTCTACCCGCTATCTTCCGTCTCTTCTAACTTTCTCTCGGTTTCTGGCTCTCACTCCTTCCTTGTTCATTTCTTTCGTTCATTTTCATGTTTCTCTTTCCTTTCCTAATCTTACGTTCATCCCTTACTTTCTACTATGCTAATCTCCTCCTTGTTTTCCCCCTCTTCCCCGGTCCTTCGTTATGCCATCTTATCCTTTTCTCTCGTTTTTTTTTTCTCTCGTTTCTCCCATTCACTCCTTTCGTTCATGTTTCCTCAATTTCTCTTTTGTTTCGTGATCTACGTTCTTTTGTATCCTCCTCCTCCTCTCCTCGTTTTGTACCTTTTCTATTCCTCCGACAATTTCGTGCTCATTTCTTTCATTTCCATCTCTTGGCTTGCTTTTATTTCTCTCATTTTCGTCCTTTTTCTTAGATTTACATCCTCATACCTATCCCCCTATCCCCCACCCTAATACCCTACCAGTCCCCTCGACACCCTTGATACCCAGTCCCGAATCCTGCTCCGAAACTGGGTAATGCAGCGGGCGGCGTTCAAACACGTTGGATATGATTCCCATCCACGCAAATCAACGCGATTACACTCTGTTGCTACCACACAATGTTTTTGTTGAAATATGTATAGATAAAAAAAATATTGTAATTAGTGTTTCCCGAGTTTCCCTCCTTGAGCTTCGAATACTCCGAATCCTTAAGTGGTGAATAAGAGGTTTTATCGCTCTTTGTTCAATGTAAAGATCTTTTTAATGGTAGATGGGGACCTAAATGTTTTTATTTTTTACACATTTCTTTTTGTAAGAAATTTTAGTTTTTAAGGTAATTTATTTTCATAACGTACTCTCCTCCCACCCCTTATTCTATAATACTCATTTTACGCTATTTAAAGTTTTTTATATTCTATTAAATTTACTTGAATCTTAAATTTTATTAATGATACATTTTTTATTAACCTTAGATATCTGTTTTACAATTTTGAGGGGGGGTTTCTTTTATATTTATGACCTGCCTTCTTAATTTTCTTACTTATTAATGGAGGCTCACAGAGGACACTCGGGATATCTTCTGTATTGACTGATTTTACCTTTATTCTGTTTTTTTTTGTTGTTGTTGTTGTTGTTGTTTTTTTTTTACTTATTGAGTTTATTGTATCTTTAAGTAAGTTTTCCACTTGTTTGCTTAATCTTTTTATTGTTTTTATTGTTTTATAATCAATTATTGTTTCATAAAATAG